CAACAAGAACAACAATAGTAATAATGATAATAATAGTAATAATAATAACAATAATAATAATAATGATAATCATAATAATAATAATGGTAATAATAATAATAATAATAATGATAATACTAATAGTATTAATAATAATAGCAATAATGATAATGATAATAATGATAATAATAAAAATAACAATAATCATAACAATATTGATAGCAACAAAAAAAAAACAATAACAACAACAACAACAATAATGATAATAATGATAATATTAATGATAACAATAATGATAATAATAATGATAGTGATAACAATCATAATAATAGAAAAAATTAATAAAAAAATAACAATAACAGTAACAATAACAATAATAATAATGGTAATGATAACAATAATAATGATAATAATAATAACAATAATAATAATAATAATAATAATAATAATAATAATAATAATAACAATAAAAAATATATATAATAATAAAAAAAAAAATAACAATAATAGTAGAGTACATAAAAATAGTAATACTAATAATGATAATAATAATGATGATAATAATAATAAAATGATAAAAATAAAAATGATAATAGTGATAAGGATAATAATTATGATGATAATAATCATAATCATAATAATAATGATAATCATAATCATAATAATGATAATAATTATAATAACAATAATAATAATAATAATAATAATAATAATGATAATAACAATGATGATGATGACGATAACAATGATGATAATAAGGATAGTAATGGTAACAATATTAATAATGATGGTAAGACAATGATGACAATAACAGTAACTACAGCATTAACAATTAAAGGAAAACAACAGTAATGAAAGCAAATTTACGTAACAGCTGAATTTAGAACGAGATTGATAATTATGTTAGCACCAACATTAATGATAGGACACTGATATTGAATGCAACACTAGCAATGTGGTAGTAATCAGAAAAAAAAAAATATTAGTAGTGATAACAAGGATGATAATGATGATGATAATGCAGACAGCAACTACAATAATTATGATGATGATAATGATATATGATAATAACAGAAATACTGCAAATGATGATAATAATAATATTAATAATAATAAAATAACAATAATAATAATGATAATAATAATAATAACAATAAAGATAATGAAAAATAATAATAATAATGATAATAATAATAATAATACCCATAATGATAATGATGATAGTAATAACAATAATAATGATAACAGTAATAAGATTAATAGTAATGATAATGAAATTAGTAATAAAAATAATCATAATAATAATAAGTACAAAGTTGATAATGATAGCGACAATAACTATAATAAATATTATAACTACAATAATAATTATAGCATTTGATAATAATGATAATACTAAAACTACTAATGATAATGATAATGATAATAATAACAATGATATTAACATAATAATAATAATAATAATAATAATAATAATAATAATAATAATAATAGTAATAATAATAATAATAACAATAATAATAATAATAATAATAACAATAATAATAATAATGAAGATAATAACAACAATAATAATGCTAATAATGATAATAATAATAATAATAATGATAATAATAATAACGATAATAATAATAATAATAATAATAATAATAATAATAATGATAATAATAATAATAATAATAATAATAATAATAATAATAATAATAATAATAATAATAATAATAATAATAATAATAATAATAACAACAACAACAATAATAATGATGATGATGATAATAATAATAATAATAATAATAATAATAATAATAATAATAATAATAGCAATAGTAATCATGATGATGATGATGATGATGATGATGATGATGATGATGATGATGATAATAATAATAATGATAACAACAATAAAAATAATAACAATAAAGATGATAACAACAATAATAATACTAATAATAATGTTAATAATAATCATAATCATAATAATAATAATAGTAATGATAATAATAATAATAATAATAATAATAATAATAATAATAATAATAATAAAATAATAGTAATAATAGAAATAATAATAATAACAATAATAACAATAACAATGATAATAACAATAATTGTTGTAGTAGCAATAATGAAATAATAATAATCATAATAGCAGTAATGATGATAATGATAATGACAATAATAATAATGATAATGATGATGATGACAATAATGATAATATTAGTGATATTAATAAGAAGAATAACAATAACAATAATAATAATAATAATAATAATAATAATAATAATAATAATAATAATAATAATAATAATAATAATAATAATAATAATAATAATAATAATGATAATAATAATAATAATAATAATAATGATAATAAAAATAATGATAACAATAATGATATCAAAAATAAAGATAATAAAGAAGATAATAATGATAATAATAATAATTACAACAACAATGATAACAATAGTAATTATATTAATAATGGTAATATTAAAGATAAAATTAAAAATGATAATAATAACAATGATCATAAAAACAATAACAATAATATTAAACATTTCTATTACTGATAATAATAAAAACATAATAATGATAATAATAATGGTGGTAATAGTAATAATGATAATTATAATTCTAACTGCATTATTTATAACAATAATTAAATAATAATGCTGGTAATACTAATAATAACAATAACAGTAGTAATGATTATAATAATGAAAATAACAATACAAATTTTAATCATCTTGATTATAGTAATGATGATAATAATAACAATAATAATAATAATAATAATAATATTAATAATAATAATAGTAATAATAATAATAACAATTATAGTAATTACAAAAATGATTACGATAACAGCGATAAGATAAACTATGACATTTATAGTAATAATCTCAATGATACTATTTATAATGATATAAGAATAACAATAATAATAATCATAACAATAATAGTTATAGCAATGATAATGATAATTAGTCATGGTGATAAGATGATAATAATATTAATGAGGAAGATATTGTTAATAAATATCATGAAAATAATAAGGAAAAATATAATGATAAAAATAATAACAAGAATAAAAATTATAATAATTATTCTTGAAAATATTGAATAATAATGAAAATGAAAAAATATTAATATCATCAATGACAGTATAAATGATGATAGTAATAATAAGAACAATACCAATGACAATAATAGTATTAATGATAGTAATAATAATAATAATAATAATAATAATAATGTATATATATATATATATATATATATATATATATATATATATATATATATATATATATATATATATATATATATTCATATATATATATATATATATATATATATATATATATATATATATATATATATATATATATATATATATATATATATTTATATTTATATATATATATATATATATATATATATATAT